GGCATGGTTGCAGGGAGGCATGGGGGCAGAGAGGCATGGTTGCAGGGAGGCATGGGGGCAGAGAGGCATGGTTGCAGGGAGGCATGGGGGCAGAGAGGCATGGTTGCAGGGAGGCATGGGGGCAGAGAGGCATGGTTGCAGGGAGGCATGGGGGCAGAGAGGCATGGTTGCAGGGAGGCATGGGGGCAGAGAGGCATGGTTGCAGGGAGGCATGGGGGCAGAGAGGCATGGTTGCAGGGAGGCATGGGGGCAGAGAGGCATGGTTGCAGGGAGGCATGGGGGCAGAGAGGCATGGTTGCAGGGAGGCATGGGGGCAGAGAGGCATGGTTGCAGGGAGGCATGGGGGCAGAGAGGCATGGTTGCAGGGAGGCATGGGGGCAGAGAGGCATGGTTGCAGGGAGGCATGGGGGCAGAGAGGCATGGTTGCAGGGAGGCATGGGGGCAGAGAGGCATGGTTGCAGGGAGGCATGGGGGCAGAGAGGCATGGTTGCAGGGAGGCATGGGGGCAGAGAGGCATGGTTGCAGGGAGGCATGGGGGCAGAGAGGCATGGTTGCAGGGAGGCATGGGGGCAGAGAGGCATGGTTGCAGGGAGGCATGGGGGCAGAGAGGCATGGTTGCAGGGAGGCATGGGGGCAGAGAGGCATGGTTGCAGGGAGGCATGGGGGCAGAGATGCATGGTTGCAGGGAGGCATGGGGGCAGAGAGGCATGGTTGCAGGGAGGCATGGGGGCAGAGAGGCATGGTTGCAGGGAGGCATGGGGGCAGAGAGGCATGGTTGCAGGGAGGCATGGGGGCAGAGAGGCATGGTTGCAGGGAGGCATGGGGGCAGAGAGGCATGGTTGCAGGGAGGCATGGGGGCAGAGAGGCATGGTTGCAGGGAGGCATGGGGGCAGAGAGGCATGGTTGCAGGGAGGCATGGGGGCAGAGAGGCATGGTTGCAGGGAGGCATGGGGGCAGAGAGGCATGGTTGCAGGGAGGCATGGGGGCAGAGAGGCATGGTTGCAGGGAGGCATGGGGGCAGAGAGGCATGGTTGCAGGGAGGCATGGGGGCAGAGAGGCATGGTTGCAGGGAGGCATGGGGGCAGAGAGGCATGGTTGCAGGGAGGCATGGGGGCAGAGAGGCATGGTTGCAGGGAGGCATGGGGGCAGAGAGGCATGGTTGCAGGGAGGCATGGGGGCAGAGAGGCATGGTTGCAGGGAGGCATGGGGGCAGAGAGGCATGGTTGCAGGGAGGCATGGGGGCAGAGAGGCATGGTTGCAGGGAGGCATGGGGGCAGAGAGGCATGGTTGCAGGGAGGCATGGGGGCAGAGAGGCATGGTTGCAGGGAGGCATGGGGGCAGAGAGGCATGGTTGCAGGGAGGCATGGGGGCAGAGAGGCATGGTTGCAGGGAGGCATGGGGGCAGAGAGGCATGGTTGCAGGGAGGCATGGGGGCAGAGAGGCATGGTTGCAGGGAGGCATGGGGGCAGAGAGGCATGGTTGCAGGGAGGCATGGGGGCAGAGAGGCATGGTTGCAGGGAGGCATGGGGGCAGAGAGGCATGGTTGCAGGGAGGCATGGGGGCAGAGAGGCATGGTTGCAGGGAGGCATGGGGGCAGAGAGGCATGGTTGCAGGGAGGCATGGGGGCAGAGAGGCATGGTTGCAGGGAGGCATGGGGGCAGAGAGGCATGGTTGCAGGGAGGCATGGGGGCAGAGAGGCATGGTTGCAGGGAGGCATGGGGGCAGAGAGGCATGGTTGCAGGGAGGCATGGGGGCAGAGAGGCATGGTTGCAGGGAGGCATGGGGGCAGAGATGCATGGTTGCAGGGAGGCATGGGGGCAGAGATGCATGGTTGCAGGGAGGCATGGGGGCAGAGAGGCATGGTTGCAGGGAGGCATGGGGGCAGAGAGGCATGGTTGCAGGGAGGCATGGGGGCAGAGAGGCATGGTTGCAGGGAGGCATGGGGGCAGAGAGGCATGGTTGCAGGGAGGCATGGGGGCAGAGAGGCATGGTTGCAGGGAGGCATGGGGGCAGAGAGGCATGGTTGCAGGGAGGCATGGGGGCAGAGAGGCATGGTTGCAGGGAGGCATGGGGGCAGAGAGGCATGGTTGCAGGGAGGCATGGGGGCAGAGAGGCATGGTTGCAGGGAGGCATGGGGGCAGAGATGCATGGTTGCAGGGAGGCATGGGGGCAGAGATGCATGGTTGCAGGGAGGCATGGGGGCAGAGATGCATGGTTGCAGGGAGGCATGGGGGCAGAGAGGCATGGTTGCAGGGAGGCATGGGGGCAGAGATGCATGGTTGCAGGGAGGCATGGGGGCAGAGAGGCATGGTTGCAGGGAGGCATGGGGGCAGAGAGGCATGGTTGCAGGGAGGCATGGGGGCAGAGAGGCATGGTTGCAGGGAGGCATGGGGGCAGAGAGGCATGGTTGCAGGGAGGCATGGGGGCAGAGAGGCATGGTTGCAGGGAGGCATGGGGGCAGAGAGGCATGGTTGCAGGGAGGCATGGGGGCAGAGAGGCATGGTTGCAGGGAGGCATGGGGGCAGAGAGGCATGGTTGCAGGGAGGCATGGGGGCAGAGAGGCATGGTTGCAGGGAGGCATGGGGGCAGAGAGGCATGGTTGCAGGGAGGCATGGGGGCAGAGAGGCATGGTTGCAGGGAGGCATGGGGGCAGAGAGGCATGGTTGCAGGGAGGCATGGGGGCAGAGAGGCATGGTTGCAGGGAGGCATGGGGGCAGAGAGGCATGGTTGCAGGGAGGCATGGGGGCAGAGAGGCATGGTTGCAGGGAGGCATGGGGGCAGAGAGGCATGGTTGCAGGGAGGCATGGGGGCAGAGAGGCATGGTTGCAGGGAGGCATGGGGGCAGAGAGGCATGGTTGCAGGGAGGCATGGGGGCAGAGATGCATGGTTGCAGGGAGGCATGGGGGCAGAGAGGCATGGTTGCAGGGAGGCATGGGGGCAGAGATGCATGGTTGCAGGAGGCATGGGGGCAGAGATGCATGGTTGCAGGGAGGCATGGGGGCAGAGAGGCATGGTTGCAGGGAGGCATGGGGGCAGAGAGGCATGGTTGCAGGGAGGCATGGGGGCAGAGAGGCATGGTTGCAGGGAGGCATGGGGGCAGAGAGGCATGGTTGCAGGGAGGCATGGGGGCAGAGAGGCATGGTTGCAGGGAGGCATGGGGGCAGAGAGGCATGGTTGCAGGGAGGCATGGGGGCAGAGAGGCATGGTTGCAGGGAGGCATGGGGGCAGAGAGGCATGGTTGCAGGGAGGCATGGGGGCAGAGAGGCATGGTTGCAGGGAGGCATGGGGGCAGAGAGGCATGGTTGCAGGGAGGCATGGGGGCAGAGAGGCATGGTTGCAGGGAGGCATGGGGGCAGAGAGGCATGGTTGCAGGGAGGCATGGGGGCAGAGAGGCATGGTTGCAGGGAGGCATGGGGGCAGAGAGGCATGGTTGCAGGGAGGCATGGGGGCAGAGAGGCATGGTTGCAGGGAGGCATGGGGGCAGAGAGGCATGGTTGCAGGGAGGCATGGGGGCAGAGAGGCATGGTTGCAGGGAGGCATGGGGGCAGAGAGGCATGGTTGCAGGGAGGCATGGGGGCAGAGAGGCATGGTTGCAGGGAGGCATGGGGGCAGAGAGGCATGGTTGCAGGGAGGCATGGGGGCAGAGATGCATGGTTGCAGGGAGGCATGGGGGCAGAGAGGCATGGTTGCAGGGAGGCATGGGGGCAGAGATGCATGGTTGCAGGGAGGCATGGGGGCAGAGAGGCATGGTTGCAGGGAGGCATGGGGGCAGAGAGGCATGGTTGCAGGGAGGCATGGGGGCAGAGAGGCATGGTTGCAGGGAGGCATGGGGGCAGAGAGGCATGGTTGCAGGGAGGCATGGGGGCAGAGAGGCATGGTTGCAGGGAGGCATGGGGGCAGAGAGGCATGGTTGCAGGGAGGCATGGGGGCAGAGAGGCATGGTTGCAGGGAGGCATGGGGGCAGAGAGGCATGGTTGCAGGGAGGCATGGGGGCAGAGAGGCATGGTTGCAGGGAGGCATGGGGGCAGAGAGGCATGGTTGCAGGGAGGCATGGGGGCAGAGATGCATGGTTGCAGGGAGGCATGGGGGCAGAGAGGCATGGTTGCAGGGAGGCATGGGGGCAGAGAGGCATGGTTGCAGGGAGGCATGGGGGCAGAGAGGCATGGTTGCAGGGAGGCATGGGGGCAGAGAGGCATGGTTGCAGGGAGGCATGGGGGCAGAGAGGCATGGTTGCAGGGAGGCATGGGGGCAGAGAGGCATGGTTGCAGGGAGGCATGGGGGCAGAGAGGCATGGTTGCAGGGAGGCATGGGGGCAGAGAGGCATGGTTGCAGGGAGGCATGGGGGCAGAGAGGCATGGTTGCAGGGAGGCATGGGGGCAGAGAGGCATGGTTGCAGGGAGGCATGGGGGCAGAGAGGCATGGTTGCAGGGAGGCATGGGGGCAGAGAGGCATGGTTGCAGGGAGGCATGGGGGCAGAGAGGCATGGTTGCAGGGAGGCATGGGGGCAGAGAGGCATGGTTGCAGGGAGGCATGGGGGCAGAGAGGCATGGTTGCAGGGAGGCATGGGGGCAGAGATGCATGGTTGCAGGGAGGCATGGGGGCAGAGAGGCATGGTTGCAGGGAGGCATGGGGGCAGAGAGGCATGGTTGCAGGGAGGCATGGGGGCAGAGAGGCATGGTTGCAGGGAGGCATGGGGGCAGAGAGGCATGGTTGCAGGGAGGCATGGGGGCAGAGAGGCATGGTTGCAGGGAGGCATGGGGGCAGAGAGGCATGGTTGCAGGGAGGCATGGGGGCAGAGATGCATGGTTGCAGGGAGGCATGGGGGCAGAGAGGCATGGTTGCAGGGAGGCATGGGGGCAGAGAGGCATGGTTGCAGGGAGGCATGGGGGCAGAGATGCATGGTTGCAGGGAGGCATGGGGGCAGAGATGCATGGTTGCAGCCAGACAAATATGCAGTGCAGGAGGGTAGTGTGGTGGGGCGGTGGGGGCGTGTGTGTGACCTGGCGGCCTGGTCGAGGTTGGTGGAGGGGTGCACGGTGTGCGGGTGGGGCGTCATGACGTCCGCCACCACCCGCCCCCTCGTCTTTATCAGCAGCTTCTGAATCTCCCTGAACGCCTGCCGCGCCACGTGAGCGCGCCCGTGGCCGTGGGGAGGTGGGGATGGGACAAGGGGGATGGGAGATGAACATGGGAAGGTGGGGAGAGGGAGGGAAAGGGAGATGTTATGGTACGTGTGGGGGACGTGTGTGGTGAAGGGAGAGCGCAGTGCAAGGTGCGGGGAGAATGGAGGAGACACAGCAGCAGCAGAAAAGGGGTGGTGGGCAGAAACATGTGGGTGAGTGGGCGAGAGAAGGGCCCGGGGGAGGGGAAGGGTGTGGGTGGTGTGAAGGGATGGGGGAGGTGCACCTTCCACGTGCTGCCGGCCTCGGGGAAGAGCGAGGAGGACGGCCCGGATGACCCCACACCTGCATGCCATGCCATGCCGTGTGCATGGGGACAGGCGGGCACAGAGAGATGGCCGGTGCCATGGGCATGGGGGGAACGATTAGCAATGTAGTTTCTGTGATAGCAGGGGCTGTGGGCGAGAGGAGTGGAGAGGGGAAGAAGTGAAAGAGGAAAACGAAGAGAGTGTGAGATGTGAGAGCGCAGTGAGAGAGGTGAGGGGAGGAAGGAGAGAGAACAGGGGGGGGAGGGCAGGGAAGAGGAGGGGCGACAGGGTGTGGCGGGCAGAGGAGAGGAGAGGCGGGGAGAGCACAGGAGGGGCGGGGAGAGCACAGGAGGGGCGGGAAGAGTACAGGAGAGGCGGGGAGAGCACAGGAGAGGCGGGGAGAGCAGAAGGGGGGCGGGAAGAGCAGAGAAGATGGGGGAAGAGCAGAGCAGAGGAGGGGCGGGGCATGGGCGCACCGGAGATGGAGTCGAGGGCGAGGAGGTCATAGTCCGACACCACGCCCACCTGCCATGCCATGCCATGGCGTGCCGTGCCGTGCCGTGACGTGCCATGCCATGCCATGGCGTGCCGTGCCGTGCCGTGACGTGCCATGCCATGCCATGGCGTGCCGTGCCGTGCCGTGACGTGCCATGCCATGCCATGGCGTGCCGTGCCATGCGTATCCGCACATGCGTGCATGGAGGGAGAGGCGGGTGCTGGTGTGAGGTGCGGACGGGGAGATTGTGATTTTGGGAAAATGTGAACGTGGCGTGTGTGTGGGCGTGATTCTGCCAAGCACGAGTGTGCATCACGAAATGCTGTAGAGCACTACATTTATCCCCCCTTTTCCCCCTCTCTCCCCCATCACCCACCCTCTCTCAGCCCATCCCTCTCCCCCTCCCCCCTCACCAGGCGTCCCTCCGCGTCCACCACGGGCATGCCCGTGATGCGGTGCTCCACCAGCAGCTCCAGCGCTGCGCGCACAAGGGGGGGTGGGGTGGGGGGAAGCGGGGGAAAGAAGGGGGGAGGGGGAGAAAGGGGGTGGAAGGGGGAGAACGGGGAGATGGCGGGGAAAGGGGGAGGGGCGGAAGGGGGTGGAGAACAAGGGCGAGAGGTCGGGCCGACTTAGAGCAAGCACCGAGTTTCCGTTGCGCTTGGTGAAATATTGCATACGTTGGCGGACCTTGATTGACGGTGCTGCACGGACCTTGATCGACGGTGGTGGAGGGCTGCGCGCACACGAGCTTGCCGGCCGACATGCAGTCGCCCACCGTCAGATGGTCCGTCGTCCGCACCGCCGCCCAGTCCACCGCCGCCTGCCCTCCCGCGCACAGGGGGGAAGCAGGGCAGGGAAGCACGAGCGGGGGGGGGGGGGGGGGGGGGGGGGAGAGTGCGCATGTTTGTTGCGCGCTCGGAGAGGAGACTCGGTGGATGGCGGGTCGAGCGAGAGATGGCGACGCGGGACGAGAGGGAGAATTGGGAGCGCTGGGAGAGCGACGAGAACGACCAGGACGAGCGGAAGGCGCGAGGGACGAGCGGAGATGGGCGCGCGAGCAGCGCTGCTGCTGTCGCAAATCTACGCATTTGATAATTCGACCACACATGCTGGCGACGATGTGCGACACAACATGTCGCCAAAGACGGCTCACCCTGTCGCCCGCGGCCGCAACGACCAATCGCGGAGTCCGCGTTTGCCGAGTGATGGTCTGAGGAGTGCGGGGGACGCGGAGACTGGATGCGCGGATAGGCGGACAGCATGCGCCAGTGTCGGCGCGGGAGGACGCGAGAGCGGAGGTGCGCGCGACGGCGCGCGGGGCTAGGCGTGCGGGGAGGGAGGAGGCGACGGTGAGGGCCGCCATGGCGTCTGGCTATGTTACTGTGAGCGAGGCAGTCGAATGAGAAAGGTGCGCGCTTGGTAATGCGGGTGGCAAGTTGTGGATGCCGAGGTGAACACGAGGGGCGTATGCGGTTGAATGGTGAATGCCCGTTTGTGGTTGTGTGACTGCTGATATCAGCAATGGATGGTTAGGAGGTGCCACGTGCGCACGTTCAGAGATGACCGCTCGAGATCTCCGCGTGTAAAACCGTGATACTTATTAGGGAAAGTATGCCAATGGTAACATACATGGGGCTCTTTAACGCGTACAGTAACTATTACAGTATATTTTCACACGTTTGGTAACTCATTTCACGCAATTGGTAACTTAGCACAGGCGAACGATCACGCGAATGGTAACTAGATGAAACTCCCGCCGAAATGATCCTGACTAAGAGGCATTTGTTAATTTGAAAGATTTCCCGCACAGTTTTATCGTTCTTGAACGATTCCCGCCGTAACTTTGAAGGATCGCGTTTGTTCAATTACCACGGACCAAATAGTTTCAGAGCCGTTTCATATCTATTTTAAGCTCGGACAAATAGTGCTAACAAGTACAATTATATTTTTGCAAGCATAATTGCATAATTGCAAAATGATGATTTTTTCCCGGAAAAGCGACAATAATTGTATTTAAAACTGTGTGTAATAAATTCAACGTGAGATAATTTTGGAGGTGGGAAAATAATACACCCTTCCGAATGGCATGCCTTTATTGTAGAAATAACCTTGAACGCCTTGTCGCAAGGAGTTTAGGGTGATGCTCTCAAAATCATTTGCCATCCGAAAGGGGTATATATTTTTTGCCCCGGTTGTACGATACAATTAAGTAAAATCCCCTTTCTGCGAGAGCCATAATATCAGCTTTATATGAAACACGGTTTTCAAAACAGCAACATGTCACTAAATAGTCCGAATTTCGGAAAGTGTGTCAGAATTTCGGAAAGTGTGTCAGAATTTCGTGCTTCATGACTCGTCAATTCAGTCTGGCGCGAGCGGGAAAACCCAGAATCAGGGTCAAGTTGGACGAGGTTTTCTTCTAGTTACCATTCGCGTGAGGGCTTGCCAGTGTATAGTTACCAAACGCGTGAATCGAGTTACCAAACGCGTGAAAATGCATTGTTATGGTTACCGTACGCGTTATAAAGCCCCATGTTTGTTACCATTCGCATATTCTCCCTACTTATTATTTGAACATAACTTACGTTCAATACTTATCCTCTGGTCTTGCGCATTCATAGCCATTCAGAATAAGGTAATATTGGATCATACCACAATTCTGTGTGGCCTCACACATGCACGTGCGCACCTCCAGCTCCACTTTTGCTTGAATTTCGTATAATACATTGCAATGCGATTATTAAAAAACCCCTCTAAACCTGAGCGTGCTGCCAGCTGAGCACCAAGCAAGGGTAAAGCAGTCGTTCATCTCAGGCGTGCTGCCCCATGCGGCATGCTGCTATGCTACATGAGAAGCAGCTTCAGCACCTCATCTGCGATCGCATCCGCTGCACCCTCACCACACTCCCCTCCATCACTCCCCCCACCCTCCCCCTCGCCTTCCCCGGCAGCACTCCCCTTGCCCCCCCCATACTCGCTTGCCACCTCCCTGAGCGCCTTCCCCATGGTCTCCAGTGCAGCCGCGTCCCCCAGCAGGCGTGCTGCCACCGCTGCCACCTCCCCCGGCCCCACCTCCCCCACCACCTCTGGCACCACCTCCCGCCCCGCCCACCTGCACGCGCGCACAGGGGAGGCGGGCATGGGGGGGGGGGGGGGGGGGGTGGTGGTGGAAGTGAATTTGGGTGGGTGTAGGGGAAGACAGTGAAAGAAGTTATGGAGAGCAGGGTTGTGAGGGTTGGCAATGGGGATGGCAAGGTGAGGGGTGGAGGAATGAAGCAGCAGGAGAGGCCATAAGCAGGAGCAAGGCAGAGGGGTAAGAGGTGAGGGGCGAGGAGGTGAGGGGGTACCGGTTGGGCCAGGCGAGGAGGTGAGGGGGTACCGGTTGGGCCAGGCGGGGAGGTGAGGGGGTACCGGTTGGGCCAGGCGAGGAAGGGCAGCGAGCGGAGCAGCGAAGCGTTGAGGAAGCAAGTGAGCGCTGCTGCTGGGCCCGCTGGCAGCAGTGCCGGCAGCAACCCCAACACGCCCCCTGCCCCCCCTTGGAACAGCTGACGTGGACGGGACATGGGAGAGAGAGGGGAAAAGGTGTGATGAGGAGTGGCAGTGACAGTGGAAGGAAGGGCAGCAGCAAGAAGGCAGGGAAGGCGGAGCATGGCAGGGAGCAGCATGGGAGGGACAGTGCAGCGCATTGACAGCCAAGTCATACGCTGCATTTGAACCACAGCGAGCATGCATGGGCACGGACGCACCTCCAGCGAGAGAGTGGGCAGGACGACCACCATGGGCACTCCCAGTGCTGCCAGCTCAGCAGTGTTGGTGCCCACCTGCCATGCCACGTCACCCATGCCACATGTCACAATCACATGGCTTGCGGGCCAATCACAAAGCAAAGAGCCACAGCAGAAAGTGATGTGGCCAGCACAGCCGCCTTAGTGTGGGCATGAGGCACTGACAGAGTAGCACATGAAGCACGCTCACAGTGGTGAGGGCGAGGGAGCACTGCGAGAGCAGCGCATACGAGGGAAACGCCCTCCACACCTCCACCTCCACTCCCCCTCCCTCCTGAGCCCCGTCCCCTCCCTCCCTCCCCTCCTCCCCTTCACCCGCTCCCCCGTCTCCTCCCTCCCCACCCTCCTCCCCAGCAACCAGTCTCCCCAGATACTCCCACCCCACCCCCTCCCCTCCCCCTGGCGGAGAGGGCCGTGCATCTCCCCCTGCGCCAAGGGGAGCGGGGGGCAGCAGGCGGGCGGGCAGCCAGGCATGGCGCGCGATGAGGGCGTTGTGGCGCCGCGAGGCAAAGCGAGCCAGCGACGCCGGCTGCACCGTGGGGGCCAGGGGTAGGATGAAGCGCATTCGGGGGGCGCTGGGGGGAAGGGGGGAGGAGATGGGGGGAAGAGGATGGACGAGGAAGGAATGGATGGGAGTGAAGAGAGATGTGGGAGGTGGTGGATGTGTGGGCACCGACAGGTGATGGCTGCGGGTGGTGGTGACCTGCTTGCCCACGTGGTGGCTCACCTGTGAGAGCAGGTCGTGTTGAGTGCATGGGCGACGGAGAGGAAGAAGGGCACTCCCACCATCAGCTTCACGTCCTGCCACCATCCAGCATGTGGCACAGGGGATGAGCGTGCGTGGCATGGCATGGCCCAGAATGGATACACAACTTGCATGTGTATGACATATACACATGAGGGCATACATGCATCCGCCACACACGAGCTCACGAATGAAGTCCCCATGCTCGCTCACCTTGCTTCCTGGCAGCAGCCCCACCACCACCTCACTCTCCTCGCTCTCCCCCACTCCTCTGCTTCCCCGCCCCTCCTCCCCTCTCCGCCCCTCGTCCCCCCTTCCCCGCTGCGCGCCCCTCGCCCCCTGCCCCTCCTGCCCCCCCTGCGCCTGCGCCACGGCGGAGAGGAAGAGGTCTCCCACCACGCGGGCGCGGCGGGCGGCCAGCAGGGCGGGCGGGATGGCGGGCAGCAGCACGGGCGAGCGCAGCGCACTCATGTCCACCAGCCTGGGGGGGGGGGGAGCGGGGTTGGGAGGGTGGGAGCGGCAAGGTGGTTTAAGATTCAATAAAAAAACACCACCCCACTGCACCACCCAACATCCCCAAACACCTCTGCTATATTACCCCCCCGCCCCTCTACACACACCTGCACCCCCCCAACCCCTCCCTCCCCTCCTCCCCCCTGCAACCCACCAGGGCCAGCGGGCGGCGTCCTCAGCGTACACGAGGCAGCGGTACCCCAGGCGCCGCGCCAGCAGCACCGCATTCAGCTGCTCGCCGCCCAGAAACACCACCACGCCCCGCCGCCGCCACCCCCACTCCCCCTCCCCCTCCGCCTCCCCCTGCCCCTGCCCTCCCCTCTCCCCCTCCCCTTGGTGCCGCTGCTGGTGGTCTGTTCTCCCCCCCGAGGCTTCCCCCTCCCCCCTCTCCCCGCCCGTGTGCTGGCCCCCAGTGGCGGCAGCAGGGCGAGTGAAGAGCAGCATGTGGAAGAAACCTTGGGGGCCCTGGTGGGGAGAGGGGGGCGTGTGGGGAGGGGGTGGGGGGGGGTGCGAGTGGGGGTTCCAGGGCATGGCGTGGTAGCGGAATGCAGCGTGCACGAGGCATGGGGTACGGTATGGCGGATGGAGAATGAGGCTTATGGGGCATGGCATAGGGGTAGGCGGTGCGGTGGGTGTGGAATGTGCATGTGGTTGCAGCAATCCCAGGCCCTGTATCTCAAAGCATGTGGACCCACACTGCCCTGCACCCGCGCCCCCCCTTTTTGCATGCCCTCTCCCCCCCCCTGTGCGCGCACCGTGCAGCGGTGCACGCCCGGCATGGCGCGCAGCACCGCCAGCTCGTTGCCCGACGCGTGGGGACACGGCGCCAGCAGCACCTGGGGGGAGGGGGAGGGGAAAGCGAAGGGGCGGAGGGGGAGGCTCAGAGGGGGGAATTGGGGGGAGTGGCAGGGAGCGGGGAGCGGGGAGCGGGAAGCGGGGAGTGAGTGGGAACGAGGAGGAGCGTTCTAATGGGACGAGGTGACGAAGGAAGCCGGGGTTCGTGCATGGTAGGCGCATGGCGCGGGGGGGGTTGGGGGGAAGGGGCGCACGGAGACGCGGAGGCGGCGCGGGTCGGGGCCGAACAGGCGCGCCAGCGACGCCACGACGGGCGCCACCCACGCTGCCACCTCGCCCGGCCCGTTCGTTATGATCGCCACGTCAGCACTGCCCACCGCCTCGCGCTCCTCCGCGCTCAGCCGCCCTGCCACGTCAGCGCCATCCGCAGCACTGGCGGCAGAGGCACGGCACGCTGCCGGCGAGGCGCGCTGCGAAGGGACGTCAAGGACCACGGGGGAGGTCAATGCGCGCCGAGTCGATGCGCGCGCGGTGGAGGCGGGAACGGGTCTGAGCGCGGAGCGACGGGAGCCATGGGGATGCGCGGTGACGGAACGAGCGGCGGAAGGCGCAGCGGATGAGGAGACGGGAGATGCGAGCGGTTGCGAAGGGGCGGCGAGCCGCGATCTACTGGCGGCGGGTGGGGGGCGGCGACGAGACGCGAGGCTAGCCGAGCACTGCGGCGCCGGCGGCGGCGCTAGCGTGGGGGGCATGATGCCTGGGAGAGAGGAGTATCGATTTGAGTGTGGCGGGAGACTCAAAATGAGAGTTTGGAGTTGCAAGTTGCGAGTTTGGGCTTTGATCAATATTGTTCTTACTCCTTCCCGCCCACCACCATTCTCTCCCGCTAATCGATCTTCCCCCTTCATTCCCACCACTCGTCTCGCCGCTTCTCTGACATAGCCGTTCAGAGCGATCGCAGCGCTAGCCATTCTCTGATCTCACACCGTCGCATTCGCTGCGCGCTGATCGCACAAATCAGAGCGCTCGCAGGGATCGCAGCAATTGCGGCGGTCAGCGCGATCGCGGCGGCGCATGGCGGGCGCGGCGGAGAGGCGGGTGCTGATTATGGGCGATGGCGGCTCCCCCGCCGGGGCGGCCATGGGGGATCGCGCGGGGGGCGGGCGGCAGCACGTGCTGCATCTGGCGCACCCGAAAACAGGCGCGTCGCTGGCGGGGGCGCGATGGCGCGTGGGGAGTAGGGGCGCGTGTGGCCATTGGGATGGGAGGGGAGTGCGAGGGGGAATGTGCCAGCAGGTAGTCTCGCCATGCGCCATGCGCCATGCGCTCACATCGCATCCACCATCGTGCCCCTGTGCGCACGTGCGCCCTGCCCCATCCCCCCCTGCCCCATGCGTGTGCGTGCGTGCGTGCGTGCGAGCAGGGGCGGCGGTGTGCTACATGCAGCAGGGCGAGGCGGTGGTGGAGGTGGCGTGGTTCAAAGACGCGCTCTCCTCGTGGCTGCTGGGGGACTCCGTGCTCCAAGGTGCTGTGCATGGGGCATGGGTGGGTACATGGGGCATGGGTGGGTACATGGGGCAATGGGTGGGTACATGGGGCAATGGGGATGGTAAGGGCTAGCTGGGGACACAGAGGCAGTGATGGGTGTGATGGTGTGAGGGCAGGGAGTGGCAGACGCACATGGATCCCGCTCTGCTGCTTCACTGCTTCCATGCGTCCCATGTCTGGAGCATGGTGGCTGGATGCGAAATGTTCACATCTGTGTCTGTATGGCATGGCATGGCATGGCATGGCATGTGGTGGCAGATGGCAGTCTATTCATGGCGACGCCCATTGATGCCGCCTTCATGCTCATGCCCATCCTCGATAAGAGCAGGATGAAGGTACTCCCACACACCCATACCTCCCTCTCACCCACCTCTCCATATCACCCACCCCTCCCTCTCACCCACCTGAGCCATTCATTCAGCGCAGCCACTCATTTCCACGTGGCACCACCCTCTCGTTGCGTATATGGTGCTGCACCCCGCACCTTGCATTGTGCCTTGACGCATGGGAGGAAGAATATGACCCTTGCACCTGCCGTGTCTTGCTCACCCCAGTGCTTCACCTCCGTTGTCCTGTTGCCCTTCATCATGCATAGATATGCTTGATTTCCTAGGTTAGGTGCATTCCTACATTTATTATAGTTATAGCACCGAACCAGGTTACGTGTACCGAACTCAAGCCTATTCGGTTTCCACCGAATTGCTTCTACTGAGTTCGGGAAGGTTCTGTTCGGGACGCTTCGCGACCCTCAGAATATTCGCGTAACACCTGGGTAACTGGCCTTGTGTCGAGACTATATATAGCCTCGTGTTGTACCCAGGTGAATCATTTAATTTACATTCTCTTTTCTGAGCTCGATCCTAGATCCTCACAATAGCTCCGCAGCTCACCCAGGTCTGTGCACGTGTGTCTCTTCTGCAGCTCCGACTTCACGTGGGCGAGTCCCTCAGTGTCAGAAGTAGCAAAGACCAAGTCGTCCACGTACACGAAGACGTACAACGGCGGCAGAGAGGTGTCGGTGCGTAGAAACAGCGACGGGTCAGCAGTGGAAGGAGCAAACCCAAGAGCCGCAAGGGTCGTCCTCACTGTGTCGTGCCACTCACGGGGCGCCTGACGGAGACCGTAGACTGGCCGCCGGAGGCTCCACTGGGTACCAGGAGGAAACGACCCAGTGAAGCCAGGTGGGCGGCGCAGCCAGATCTCCTCATGCAGGTTGCCCTGTAGGAAAGCAGTGCTGAAGTCAAGAGAGTGCAGCTCGCAGTCACGCTGAGCAGCTACGTGCAGTAGAACCCGAAGAGTGGTCATCTTCGGGGTGGGGGAGAAGGTCTGGAAGAAGTCAACTCCCTTTCGCTGGCTCAAGCCTCGTGCAACGTAACGCGCCTTGAAGACAGGCGGAGAACCCGGCGGCCGCTTCACCCTGAAAATCCACATGCCACTGACGATGTTCGCCCCAGGCGGGGGAACCTCGTCGACGTAGGTGCCTGTGGACTTCCAGGAAGCCATCTCTGTGTCCATGGCTGTCTGCCACTGAGAGGAGTAGGGACCCTCTATCGCCTCTGCGTAAGAGCGCGGGGTCGGGATGTCTGGTGCATCCGGGTCTCCCTTAGGGGCAATCAGCATGGACACGAGATGAATTAAAACTGCGGCAAAGAACTCAAACTCCTCCTATCTGTCCTCAAGGACGTCCGTGCCAAGAGCACACTCACCCTTGACGGACGGAGGACAGACAGACTCAGACTCAGACTCAGCAACAAGGCTAGCGGCGTAGTCTAGACGACAGGCGGCAGCAAAGTCAACAAGCTCAGCAACTAGGGCAGACGCAGCTGTGGACTCAAACGACGGGTCAGTGACAACAGTGGCCAGGAGACGCGTGACAGTAGGACTAGCAGCACGAAGGAAGACGGACTCCGGGTCAGGACCGTCAGCAAGGGAGGACGCAGGAGGAGACGGCAGAGGGATACGCAGTGGAGCAGTGGAAGGACGAAGCGCCATCCGGTGCGTGCCTAGGACAGCAGGAGGACGCGGACGCGGAACACGACCACCAGTACGACCAGCGCAAACAAGCGACGCTGGACGAGACTCAGGCGACGCAGGACGAGACTCAAGCGACGCAGGACGAGACTCAGGCTCACGACGCTCCGTAAGACCTCTAGTCGGCCCAGAGTAAGGAGAACCAGCACGGGGAGGCGCCGGTGAGAGGGCTGCCAGACACCGACCTGGGTGGGTGAAGGGCGGCCTGCCTGCCTTGCTGGCTGACTGGCTGGCTGGCTGGCTGGCTGGCTGGCTGGCTGGCTGGCTGGCTGGCTGGCTGGCTGGCTGGCTGGGGGTCGTGATGTTCTCTCTGCTGCGTGCTTACGTGACTGTTCTCCCTAATTTCAGCCTGTAGGACCCGACTCTCCCTAACTTCTCTCCCACACATCAAGCCTGCTTCCCATAGCGCCTGCTGTGCATCTTGCTGCTGCTTCTCCCCTCGCCCCGCCTTACACATCCCCCCTGACCTTCTCCTCCCTCCATGTGCACACAGAGGCATATGCGGTGGGGCTGCTGGGCGAGTATCTGCCCGCCTCCTTCCACGCTGCCCTCTGCCGCCACCTCTCCATCAGGTCAGTGCCGCCCACGCTCCTCACATGCCCTCTTCACACACTTTTCTTCTGCTGCCATGCCGTCCCCTCTCTCCTCGCACACCTCCACATGCCACCCTCTGTCCCTATCTCCTCCCCCACCCACCCGCTCCACATTCGCCCTCCACGCTGCATGTGCCGCTGGCTGCTGTGTGCCGTGCGTGGGGCAGTGAGGGCGAGGTGAAGCAGAGCCAGCAAGGGGGGCAACGCCTGGCCAGCCCACCTGCCACTACTGCCACTCAACCCAAGGTGCCATATGCCCCAGCTGCTCGCCTGCACCCTCTTTACCTGCGCTCACTTTTTCTATCTCTTCTGCATCTACGGAACGGAACCTTGCCTTGCCTTCACTTCATGCTCTGTCCTGAGGATATACCTCGGCCTCGCCAAATTGCCCATCTCCTGCCTCGCATCGCATGTCCTATGTCAGGTGTCCTCCACACCACCCAGTGCTGGGAAGCCGGGCTCCTCCAATTCAAACCAGCGCGGCAAGAAGGCGCTTAAAGCCCAACCAGGCGATCGAAAAATCACCTCCTTTTTTGGAAGGAATAGATAATGTGGAAATCCAACAGGATTATCATGTATGTTGTATTATTATATATTTCTCATGCGTTACCGATGCCGGTACAAAAGCGGATTCCTCACGAAACCGTTGGGCCCACGTCGATTTGCCCGAGGCTGACGTGTGCATCCATAGCTGGCCATTCCTGACGAGCCACTTCAACGTGTCCTCTGGTCTCCCGTTCTGCACCACCACCCATGCCATTCCATCTCCGTCAGTATGACTCTCGCGCATACCATCACAGCACTCGCACGCGATCACTGATCACATCCGCGCCTCCTCTTCATCCTCGCTGCCGATAGAATCCCCGCCGCCGCCACCAATCGCGCTCGCGCCCACGCTGCTCTCTTGCGCCGCGCCTTCTCGCGCATCTCGCTCCACACCTGCGGCGGCGCGCCGCCATCTCGCGTCGCCCCCCCGCATCCCACTCGCCGCTTGAGTTGGCGCAGCCATGCGCCCATCCGCGCGCCCTGGAGACGCAACTGGGCTTAGAGGTATTTTGCACGCCGCCATCCCGCGTCGCCCCCCCAATCCTACTCGCCGCTGGAGAGGCGACTGGGCTTAGAGGGTTTTCGCACGCCGCCATTCCCAAAACCACATGGCAAATAGTTGGAATTGCTAATTGGATTAGTTGGCAATTAGTTGGATTATCGTGGTTTGCTAATTGTGTCGCATGGCATCGCATGGTGTCATGGCGACGTCGCATGACGCCACCGCTGCTGGCGCTCCACCCCGCCAGCCCTCTCTGCCCCTCGCACCCGCGAATTCCCCTCTGCGCCCCTCCCACGCGGCCGCTGCCGCTTCCGGCGCAGCCCGCACTTTCTCCCCCCCGCTCTCCGCGCGCCACTCCGCGCCCCACCGTGCGCGCCACCCGCCTCCCCCCAGTAACCTTCCGCAGCTCTCGCGCGCCTCCTCCGTCTCCTCCTCGCTCCCGCGCTCCGCGCTCTCCTCCCCCGCGTCCTCCGCGCTGCACCTCCCCGCCATCCCCTCGCTGCAGTCCCTCCCCTCGCTCCGCTCCCTCTCCTCCTCCTCCGCTCACACCTGCGCGGGCTGCTCCTGCGCGGGGTGCGCGGGGGGCAGCGCGGCGGGGGGCACGCGGAGCCCGTCGGACGGGGGGGAGGTGCGGTGGTACTTCAGCAAGGGGCACCTAGTCAAGGGCGGTGAGCGCATGTGGGTGGGGGGAGGGCGGTAGGTGCAGCGCAAGGGGAAAAGGAGGATTGCAGTGGGATGAGTGGAGTGGGCATGTGAGACCATATGGGGCTGTGCTTAATGCATGCTGTGTGCTCATGCTTTGCCATGACTTTCTACCTTCCCTGCCCCCCCTGCTCTCTCTTACTCTGTGTGTGTGTGTCAGGTGACTGCCTTCCGCCAGGTGACTGCCTTCCACCAGGTGACTGCCTTCCGCCAGGTGACTGCCTTCCGCCAGGTGACTGCCTTCCGCCAGGTGACTGCCTTCCGCCAGGTGACTGCCTTCCGCCAGGTGACTGCCTTCCGCCAGGTGACTGCCTTCCGCCAGGTGACTGCCTTCCGCCAGGTGACTGCCTTCCGCCAGGTGACTGCCTTCCGCCAGGTGACTGCCTTCCGCCAGGTGACTGCCTTCCGCCAGGTCTGTGCGCCTTGTATGCCCGCTTCCCTCGCCTTCTCCCCCACTTCATGCATGCGCCCGCCCCGTGCTGCCCACACCCTTGCACCATATCTCACCGCTCTCTGCCCCCTCCCACCCCTGCACACCATGCCGCATCACACCAGCGCGAGGAGGAGCTGCTCACGCTGTGGTGGAAGGAGTATGCCGACGCCGCAGTGGGGCCCGCGCCAGGTGGCGTGCCGCCATTGGTGGCCCCTCTGCTGTCGTCCGATCGCATCCGTCCGTGGCAGATCGCCGCCCCCCTCAGGAGCAAGAGACGGCGGCGGGCAGGGTGGGGGGGAAGGCGGGAGAGGGAGGAAGAGAGGCAGGAGAGGGAGATAGAGCAGGAGAGGGAGAGGGAGAGAGAGAGGGAACGCGAAATGGCGAAGGAGAGGATGAGGGAATGGAGGAGGCAGGAGGTTAGGCGGCATGAGGGGGAGCTGGAGAAGGGCGAGGGGCTGTGGGCGGAAGTGCAGGAGGAGGGGGCGGAAGGGGAGGAGGGGGACGGGGGAAGGGGGGCAGAGGAGGCGGATAGGGAGGGCGATAGGGGGAGGGCGAGGGGTGCTGGTGGTGAGCGGGGAGCGTGGGACGATGGCAAGGCAGGCGATGCAGAGAGACAAGAGGGGGAGGAGGGGGAGGGGGGAGAGGGCGAGGAGGAGAGTGAGGGGGAGAGTGAGGAGGGCGAGGAGGAGGCGATGGGGGTGGTGGTCAAGGGCGGGCTATACGAGGTAAGGGTGTTCTCTCCCTGCCTGCTGCCTGCCTGCCCCTCCACGCCCTGCCTGCCCTCACTCACAGGGCATTCTGCTGCACACCGCATGTGCCCGCCATGCTCCTTGCTCAGTAACACCAGCTGTGTGCTTCAATTCAATGCTTCGCCATGCACCCATGCACGCTACCATGTGTGCCACAGTGCTGTGCCGTATCAAGGAACGTGCGGATGCTTATCAGACATCCCTCCCACCCTCTCTCTACCCACCCTTTCCCCTCCCCCTCGCCTGGTACCTCCAGGTGGACCTGGGTCGGAGGCGGTCGTATGCGGTGTACTGGGAGGGGGAGGACCGCCGTGTGCTGCGCGGGCTGTGGTTCGGCAAGCGGGCGGGACAGCTGACGTGGCAGCCCCTGAGGGAGGACGTGGCAGAGCAGCTGGAGGAGGCGTACAGGAAGCGGGTGAGTGGTGGGCGGGGAGAGAGGGGAGCACAGGGAGAGAGGGGAGCACAGGGAGAGGTTGGTCTCATGGCCACCCCATGCGCTTGCTTCCCCTTTCTTTCGCCGCTCGCTCCCTCGTCTCCCCATCTCTTGGTACCTCTCACCACCGCTGTTAACCCCTCCCATCTGCGTGTCTCCCTGTGCCGTGCAGGTGTGGCGGCGGCGGTGGTTCCAGCCGTCAGGCCTGTTCGCCTCTAGAGTGCCCATTGCTGGCGCCGGCGAGGTGAGCGCTCAGCACGGCACAGGGGGTGAGCGTGGGGGAGTGGGCAGGAGGGAGGCTGACATAGGTATGTGTGGGCGGTAGGTAGTGCACATGCACGGTAGGCTGGCACTGTTTCGCATCGTACCTACCCACTGCACCACACTCTTGAAGGCCTGCCACCCTATCACTCCCCACATCCTCTCACACTTGTCTCTCCCCTCTCTTCTATGCCAGGGAGTGAGCGCGGTGTTCACGGGGGACGACAGCAGCTGGCGGGCGCAGCTGTGGGTGGAAGGAACGCGGCTCTTCTCCTCGCCGCTGCACGCCATGGCCCTGCGCAGGGGCTTCCTGCCTTCCCCCTCCACTCAGGTCAGTGAGAGGTGAGAGGAAGCGCGTTGTGGATCGGCTCCAGATGGCACAGGCAGCCCTCCAGCACACTTGCAGTTCGCCTTCATTCCATGGGTGTGTGTGTGCCATCGTGCCCCTGCCTTGCCGCACCCCCTTGACCCGTTCTCTCTCCCCCTGTCTCTCGCTGCGTGGCAGCAGGAGGACGAGCAGCAGGTGAAGGAGGAGGAGCTGGATGACTACTGCTCCATGGTGGGTGGAATGAAATGGGAGCTGCATATGTCCATGAACGCACCCCATCCATCATGGCCACCCACCACTCTGCTGCATCACACGCATGCCTCAGTTCTCTTGGCTTACAGCATGCCTCAGTTCTCTTGGCTTACAGCATGCACACAACTCAAGCAACCCCTTTCCACCTCACCACCATGTAGCGTTGTGAGACGTCTCACCCCCACCCACCCTCTCCCCCCCCCCCCCCCACCAGGTGCCGGTGCAGCATGTGGTGTTCATGGTGCACGGGGTGGGGCAGCGCCTGGAGTCGGCGCACCTGGTGGATGACGTCACTGCCTTCCGCCACCACGCAGCACAGCTCAGCCACTCACACCTCACCGCCCACCAGCGCCTGCAGCAGCGCTGCCTCTTCATCCCCTGCCAGGTGCCTGTTCATCCCCTGCCAGGTGCCCCCCTCCCTCTCCCTCACCATGCAGTTTCCCAACACCCTTCGTTCTTTTCATGATTCGACAGGCACGTGTTATCTGTCTCTCCCCCTTTTCGTTCTCCTCACTCCCCGTCGTCCACCTCCCTGCCGCCACATCCTCTTTCTCCCTGGCATGTGTGTGCGTGTGCGCATGGGTGTGCACGCCCGGGTGGCAGTGGAGGAGGGGCATGGCGCTGGCATCGGAGGCGGTGGTGGAGGGCATAACGCTGGAGGGCGTGAGAGCGCTGAGGGACGCTGTCAGCGCCACGGTGCACGATGTGCTCTACTACATGAGCCCCGCCTACTGCCAGACCATCATCCACTCGGTCCGTGCATGCACCGCATTGCACCGCACTGCACTGCACACGCTCGCCAGTGCTCTGAAACCTGCTGTTGCTACTACTGCCTCTGCTGCCAGTCTTCTGCATCCGCTTCTTGATCGCCTGCCTGCATTGATTCATCATTCAAAATTTCGTTCACTCTCTCCCATCCCTCCTCTCCTCCCCCATGCCCTCCCCCCAGCTGACCTCCTCACTGAACCGGCTGTACCGCAAGTTCAAGCGGCGCAATCCGCTGTTCAGCGGGCGCGTGTCGGTGTTCGGCCACTCGCTCGGCTCCGTGCTGCTCCACGACATCCTCTGCCACCAGCCGCCCCTCCCGCCCCTGCTGCCCCCCCCGCTGCCCCACTCGCTGCTTCCGCCGCCGCTGCTGGCAGATGGTAGAGGCCTGGGGGCGATGCAGGGAGGCGTGGGGAAGGCAGGGGACGATGGGGGATGGGAGGATGGGGAGGGGTGGAGTGAAAGTGAGGCTGCAGAATCGCCTGGGGCTGTCTCTGTGCCTGACCCATCCATGGTTCCTGCACGTGGTGGGGATCTGCTTGCGCTTGCCCCACAACGCCTTCCTGCTGCACTTGAACCTGTGTCACCTGCACCAGAGCCTGAACCTGCACCCGATTTTCTATCTGACGTTGCACCGGCACCTGTGGCTGTGGCTGTGCCCGAGCCAGCAGCGCCACCTGAAGCATCTGCTGACGCGCCTGTGCGCTTAGATGGGGGCATACCTGCCTCGCTACGGGTTATCCCTTCCTCCACCGCTGCCAGCCCAGCCATGCCTCAAAGCCCCACGCACACAAGCAGGGATGGCAGCAGCCACTGGGGGGATGGGTGCATGCAGGTTGCAAGGCAGGCAATGGACAGTGGAGGAGTGAAGGGGGTCGAGGCGGAAGCACAAGGGGAGGGGGAGGGTGATGCAGTGGCGGAGCAAGGAAGGGGCTGGGAGGAGGGGGAGCGAGTGCAGGGAGGGGGTGGGAGTGATGGGCAATCAGAAGCAGGTGTGGGGGGAGGGCCGAACACAGAGACAGCAGAGCAGTTGAGGCACAAGGTGAGAGGCGCTGTGTGTGTGGGGGGACTGCAGTGCGCTGCGTGTGAGTTGTGCCACCATTGCCTCAACTCCCAGTCAGTCCTCTCATCCTCTTGCACCCAACACCTCTCCACCTTCCCTCCCCACGGCACCGTTTCTCATTACCCTCTTTCCCTCCCCTCCCCTCTTGCCCCCCTCAGCTGGGCGAGCTACAGAGGGAGGTGGAAGCGTGGCGGGCCGCCTTCCACCACCTCGCCTCCTCGCTCCCGCACGTGCCGGCTGCTCGCCCTGCATCCCCCTCGCCATGTGTGCACCACACTGCTCCCGCATGCCATCGCGCCTCTCCTCCGTCCCACACCTCTCAGCCCCTGCACGCCCCTGCTTCCACCCTCCCTCTCTTCGCTCTGCCACCCGCCCCTCCCCCTCTCCTCCTCCCAACGCCACCAGCACCACCAGCACCACCAGCACCACCAGCACCATCGCCTGCGTGTCCTCCCACCAGTCAAGCCACCAGCCCTGCCACTCCGCCTGTGCAGCCCGCCTCGCCCGCTCTGCCAGCCACCCCTCCCCACTGCCCCACCAGCAGCCCCTCCTTGAGCGTTCCTTCTCGTGCCTCTGCCAGCTCTCTTGATGCTGCCCCTGCCGGCAATGCATGCGTGGTGGGCGCTGGTGACATACTGAAGGGGGACGGGGGTGAAGGCAGCATAGACAGCCGGGCAGAGGCGGGAGGGTGGGAACAGGTAGCAGTAGCACGGGAGAAGGCGAAGGATGAGGAGGGTGTGGTTGTGGGGGCATGCGGAGGGGAGGGGCGAGGAGGTAGGAAAAGGAAGGGCAGTGGCGGAAGGGAGGGAGGTGGGAATGGTGGAGGGGGTGTGTCGAGAAGAGGAGCGGGTGCAGTGGAGGAGGGAGCAACGAGAGGGAAGAGCAAGGAGAGGAGGGGCAGGGAGGTGGGTGAGACGAGGAGACAGAGGAGGAGGAGGAGGGTGGAGGAGAAGGAAAAGCTCGCTGCGTCTGCTGCAGTTGATGCTCGTGATGCGGCTGGGGCTGGGGCGAGTGGGGAAGCACAGGGGTGTGAAGCTCGCATGGGGCGAGGGGTGGATGCGGCGGCGAGGGGCGAGGGTGGGGAAGGAGTGGGTGGAGCAGTGGGGCCGGCACGGTGTGAGGCAGAGGCAGAGGCATGGGTGCAGCCAAAGGCAGGGGGGGTGGTGGAGGTGGCGAGTGGTGGCGGTGGATTGGGAGGCTATGGGGGATGCAGTGAGGGTTGCGAGGGACGCAGCGAGTGTGGTGAGAGAAGCAGGGAGGGCAGTGGGGAATGTGGGCATGACGAGAGGCGTAGTGAGTGTGGCGTGGTATGCGCACAAGTAGCAGTGGTGCCAGCGATAGAGGAGGGCGGTGGGCAATGCGCCGGGGAGGGGCGTGGGGAAGGCACTGGGGAAGGGCGAGAGCAGAGGGGAGAGGGGCTGCATGGGAATGTGGAAGCACTCACTTATGGGGATGCGGTGGTTGGCTGTAGGTTGGAGTGGAAGGTGGGAGAGGGCCGTGCAGAATGCAGTGGCAGTGGAGAGGGGATGGGTGGTGCAGCTGGTGCTGTGAAGGGTGGTGGAGAGGCGTGGCTGGGTTGGGGAGACACGCGTGAAGGCGGGGAAGAGGAGGGCGGAAGAATGGGGAGGGCGTCGCTGGAGAGGATGGAAGAGCGGTGGCGGATGGGGGGACAACTGGAGAGGGGTTGGCGTGGAGTGCGATTGAGACACTTGGGGATTCAAACGGGAGAGAAGGGCATGTGGGGGAAGCAGGGGCACATGTGAAGGAGGGGGTGGACGAGAGAGGGGGGGAGAGAGCAGAGAGTCTACGCGAGGGGGTTGCTGCAGGGATGGGAACAGGGAGGAGCGCAGCAGGAGCAGCAGGGGGGAGGGGCGAATCCCGGGCACAAGGGAGAGGCGAATCCCGGGCACAAGGGAGAGGCGGCGGCAGAGCAGCATCACCGCGGGCGCCACCGCGGCAGCATGCGCCGTCTATTCGCTACGGCCGCCTGCTCTTTCCCGTGAGCTGCTCTCCTCTCCCTCCTCCTTGCTTCTTGCCCCTCTGCCCATCCTCTTTGCTCCCCTCACCCTCTCATCACCCCCCCCTCCACAACCCATCCCCTCCCGCCCGCCCCCACCCCCCTCTCCGCGTCCACAGGTGGACACGTTCTTCGCAGTGGGGTCGCCCCTCGGCCTCTTCCTCGCTCTGCGCAACATTCGCCTCGGCGATGGTGGTGAGCAGAGAGAGGGGGGAGTGGGGTGATGCTGGGATGGGTGCGAGGGGTTGAGCAGGACGGATGCAGCGGTTAAGCTGGGATGGGATGACTCAACATGAGGCTCAGGCTAATGTTTATATTGGGCATGTTATTATAGGAGGCACAGTCAAGCATGTGCCAATGTTGTCTTCCCCCCAATCACCCCATGCATGAGCAGCAGGCGGCGAGAGTGCGCGGTACTGGGGCATGGAGGGAATGCAGGAGGAGCTGTCAGCGTGCCGCCATGTGCTCAACATCTTCCACCCCCACGACCCCGTCGCCTACCGGTCAGTTCCCCACCACCCCGTCGCCTCCCGTGGCGGCCTGCATGTGACGATTGCTGTGTGCGTTTGCCTGCATGGTGGTGCCCACTGCTGTGTGTTGTCGTGATTCAGCTCACCTCCCACCGTGCCATGCATCACGTGCAGATTGGAGCCACTGGTGTCACCACAGCTGGCGCAAGTTCCTCCGGTGCTCATGCCGTACTACCGCGGTCACTACCGCACGCACATCGTAGTCAAGGTCAGGGCTGTGCTGTGACTGTTGCTGCATTATGCCTTCCCACATCTCTTGTTTCCACCTTGCCCCCCTCGCTGCCGCACTCCCTTAGCTGCTCTCCCATGCTCTCATAACCCCTGCTGTTTGCTCATCCTTCTTCCCTCCCTCCCATACCGCAACCCCATACGTCCCCATGCGCGCACCCCCTTTCCTTCATGCGTGCAGCGCTTCTTCCAGCAGCTGAGGGGCAGCCTGAGATGGCTGTACCGTGCACTGGTTTCACCGCTGCAATATGTGCTGGTGAGTCATGGCAGGTACTGTGATGCAATGTGGGGCAGTGAAGTGGTGTGGGGCAGTGATAGGCTATGTGAGGCGGTGAGAGGCTATTTGAGGCGGTGAGAGGCTATGTGAGGGGGCATAATCCTGGTGCAGTGCTGTGAATGCTGTCTTCAAATGTGTGTGTGTTGTCACGTGGGATTCCCTCTTCCGCCCATGCATCAGCATCATATCAGCATCAGCATCAGCATCATATCAGCATCAGCATCAGCATCATATCAGCATCAGCATCAGCATCATATCAGCATCAGCATCAGCATCAGCATCAGAATCAGCATCAGCATCATATCAGCATCAGCATCAGCATCAGCATCAGCATCAGCATCAGAATCAGCATCAGCATCAGCATCATATCAGCATCAGCATCAGCATCATATCAGCATCAGCATCAGCATCAGCATCAGCATTAGCATCACATCAGCATCAGCATCAGCATCAACATCACATCAGCATCAGCATCAGCATCAGCATCATATCAGCATCAGCATCAGCATCAGCATTAGCATCACATCAGCATCAGCATCAGCATCAACATCACATCAGCATCAGCATCAGCATCAGCATCGCATCAGCATCAACATCAGCATCAGCATCAGCATCAGCATCAGCATCACATCAGCATCAGCATCAGCATCAGCATCAACATCACATCAGCATCAGCATCAGCATCAGCATCAGCATCAGCATCAGCATCATATCAGCATCAGCATCAGCATCAGCATTAGCATCACATCAGCATCAGCATCAGCATCAACATCACATCAGCATCAGCATCAGCATCAGCATCGCATCAGCATCAACATCAGCATCAGCATCAGCATCAGCATCAGCATCAGCATCAGCATCAGCATCAGCATCACATCAGCATCAGCATCAGCATCAACATCACATCAGCATCAGCATCAGCATCAGCATCATATCAGCATCAGCATCAGCATCAGCATCGCATCACCATCAACATCAGCATCAGCATCAGCATCAGCATCAGCATCACATCAGCATCAGCATCAGCATCAACATCACATCAGCATCAGCATCAGCATCATATCAGCATCAGCATCAGCATCAGCATCAGCATCAGCATCAGCATCAGCATCAGCATCAGCATTAGCATCACATCAGCATCAGCATCAGCATCAACATCACATCAGCATCGCATCAGCATCAACATCAGCATCAGCATCAGCATCAGAATCAGCATCAGCATCAGCATCATATCAGCATCAGCATCAGCATCAGCATCATATCAGCATCAGCATCAGCATCAGCATTAGCATCACATCAGCATCAGCATCAGCATCAACATCACATCAGCATCAACATCAGCATCAGCATCATATCAGCATCAGCATCAGCATCAGCATCAGCATTAGCATCAGCATCAGCATCAGCATCAGCATCAACATCACATCAGCATCAGCATCAGCATCAGCATCGCATCAGCATCAACATCAGCATCAGCATCAGCATCAGCATTCGCATCAGCATCAGCATCAGCATCAGCATCACATCAGCATCAACATCAGCATCAGCATCAGCATCAGCATCGCATCAGCATCAGCATCAGCATCAGCATCAACATCACATCAGCATCAGCATCAGCATCAGCATCAGCATCGCATCCGCATCAGCATCAGCATCAGCATCAGCATCAGCATCAGCATCAGCATCATATCAGCATCAGCATCAGCATCAGCATCAGCATCAGCATCAGCATCAGCATCAGCATCAGCATCGCATCCGCATCAGCATCAGCATCTGCATCAGCATCAGCATCAGCATCAGCATCAGCATCAGCATCAGCATCAGCATCAGCATCACATCAGCATCAGCATTACATCAGCATCAGCATCAGCATCAGCATCCGCATCATATCAGCATCAGCATCAGCATCAGCATCAGCATCACATCAGCATCAGCATCAGCATCAGCATCAGCATCAGCATCACATCAGCAACAGCATCAGCATCAATATCAGCATCATATCAGCATCAGCATCAGCATCAGCATCAGCATCAGCATCAGCATCAGCATCAGCATCGCATCAGCATCAGCATCAGCATCAGCATCAGCATCAGCATCACATCACATCAGCATCAGCATCAGCATCAGCATCACATCAGCATCACATCAGCATCAGCATCAGCATCAGCATCAGCATCAGCATCAACATCACATCAGCATCAGCATCAGCATCAGCATCAGCATCAGCATCGCATCAGCATCAGCATCAGCATCAGCATCAGCATCAGCATCAGCATCAGCATCAGCATCAGCATCACATCAGCATCAGCATCAGCATCAGCATCAGCATCAGCATCAGCATCAGCATCAGCATCGCATCAGCATCAGCATCAGCATCAGCATCAGCATCGGCATCAGCATCAGCATCAGCATCAGCATCATATCAGCATCAGCATCAGCATCAGCATCAGCATCAGCATCGCATCCGCATCAGCATCAGCATCTGCATCAGCATCAGCATCAGCATCAGCATCAGCATCAGCATCAGCATCACATCAGCATCAGCATTAGCATCAGCATCAGCATCAGCATCAGCATCAGCATCAGCATCAGCATCAGCATCAGCATCAGCATCACATCAGCATCGCATCAGCATCAGCATCAGCATCAGCATCAGCATCATATCAGCATCAGCATCAGCATCAGCATCACATCACATCAGCATCAGCATCAGCATCAGCATCAGCATCAGCATCAGCATCACATCAGCAACAGCATCAGCATCAATATCAGCATCATATCAGCATCAGCATCAGCATCAGCATCAGCATCAGCATCAGCATCGCATCAGCATCAGCATCAGCATCAGCATCAGCATCAGCATCAGCATCAGCATCACATCAGCATCAGCATCAGCATCAGCATCACATCAGCATCACATCAGCATCAGCATCAGCATCAGCATCAGCATCAGCATCAACATCATATCAGCATCAGCATCAGCATCAGCATCAGCATCAGCATCGCATCAGCATCAGCATCAGCATCAGCATCAGCATCAGCATTAGCATCAGCATCAGCATCAGCATTAGCATCAGCATCAGCATCAGCATCAGCATCACATCAGCATCAGCATCAGTATCAGCATCAGCATCAGCATCAGCATCAGCATCAGCATCAGCATCACATCAGCATCAGCATCAGCATCACATCAGCATCATATCAGCATCAGCATCAGCATCAGCATCAGCATCAGCATCAGCATCAGCATCAGCATCGCATCAGCATCCGCATCAGCATCAGCATCAGCATCAGCATCAGCATCAGCATCAGCATCAGCATCAACATCGCATCAGCATCAGCATCAGCATCAGCATCAGCATCAGCATCAGCATCAGCATCAGCATCAACATCGCATCAGCATCAGCATCAGCATCAGCATCAGCATCAGCATCAGCATGAGCATCAGCATCAGCATCACATCAGCATCAGCATCAGCATCAGCATCAGCATCAGCATCAGCATCAGCATCAACATCAGCATCAACATCACATCAGCATCAGCATCAGCATCAGCATCAACATCACATCAGCATCAGCATCAGCATCAGCATCGCATCAGCATCAACATCAGCATCAGCATCAGCATCGCATCCGCATCAGCATCAGCATCAGCATCAGCATCAGCATCAGCATCAGCATCATATCAGCATCAGCATCAGCATCAGCATCAGCATCAGCATCAGCATCGCATCCGCATCAGCATCAGCATCTGCATCAGCATCAGCATCAGCATCAGCATCAGCATCAGCATCAGCATCAGCATCAGCATCACATCAGCATCAGCATTACATCAGCATCAGCATCAGCATCAGCATCCGCATCATATCAGCATCAGCATCTGCATCAGCATCAGCATCACATCAGCATCAGCATCAGCATCAGCATGCATCTCACGCCTCTCCCTGCCTCTCCCCTCCTCACTAATTGCGCCCTTCTCACTCCCCTCAACCCATCCCCACCCCTGCCAGAGGTCCGCATGGAGTCTGCTCTGCTTCGCCCCTCCACCTCCTCGACCCGCACCGGGTATGCACCCACCTCCACCCAACTGCACCGACCTCATCCGAGTGCACATGCACAGCATGACATGCCCCCACTGCGTGCCCAACCTCTCCATTGCTGTCACGCTCTCACTGCTTCTCTCATCACCACGCTGTCTGCTCCTCTCCTTCCGCCCTCCTCCTGCTATCCCTACCTTCTGTTGGCCTGCTCTCCCCCATCTCTTCCCCCCTGTCAGCCCGCGACAGCAGTGAGCTGCCAGTGTTGGACGCGCGGTCGCAGCACACGCTCACACTCCTCACAGGCTCTCCGCACGGCCGCATTGACTTCATGCTGCAGGTGGGGCATGGGGCGCAGGGGGGGAGGGGGGGATTGGGGGGGGGGGGGTGGAAGGGGGGCGTCGGGACGTTGTCGTGGCTGTGCTGTGCGCCACAATATGTATGGTATTGCTCACTTGCAGCCACACACACATGATCCTCATATCTCTCTCCTTCTCTCTGCCCCCTTGTTCTATGTGCTGCTGTGCCCGCCAGGACCCCTCCTTCCAGCACCAGTACTTGCAGGCCATGAGCTGCCACTTGTGAGTCACAACTTCCCTCTCGCCTCGCCTCCTTCGCTCTCGCCCCTTCTTTCTCCTGCCTGCATCACCTTTACCTGCAAGTCTGCTACCATGCCACTCCTCCATTCCACCCACACCTCTTCTGCCTGCATGACCTTGGTGATGCGTCCAGTGCCATTCTTCCCCCAACAAGATTCTCCTCCGCTGTTGCTCGCGTCTCAGCGCTTGCCAGTCTCCTCACCGCCGTTTGCCACTCCCCTCTTCCCTCTCACCTGTCCTCCCTTTCTTCCTCACCTCCCCTTCTCCCCCTCAGCGATGCATGGATAGACAAGGACATAGCGCTGCTGGTCATCCGCCATCTCTACCGCCACGTGCCTCGCCAGCCCCCTCCCGCCCGCCAGCCACCGCCCCTGCACGCTCACTTCGACCCCTCCTCCCCCGCCCCCTCTCCCACTGCTACCACCCCCCCCACTGACCCCTCGTTCTTCTCGCCTCCTCCCTCCCCCTCACGTCACGCCGTCTTCTCCTCCCTCTCTGCCCTCTCCACGCCTCGTTGCCTCTCTGGAGACCTCTCCTCCTACTCCATCCCCTCCTTCCTCCCCTCCCACCCCTCCTCCTCGCCCCTTCCTGCCATGCAACCCTTCTCCCCCCTCTCAGCCCCCCCCACGCCCCATCCTCTCCCACCAGCATTATTCCCTGCATCAGCACCGCCAGCAGCACCCATCAATGCTACGACGACATCTTCCACCGCTCCCAACCCATCCGCAACCCACGCGGCCATGCCCTCGCGCCCGCCCCCTTCGAGTCAGGTGCGGGGGCACCAGCGCAGCGGCAGCAGCAGCAGCCTGCTGGGGCGGCTGTGTGACGCTGTGAGCCCTCTTGAGCATGCTGCTGCTGCTGAACGGCACGCAGGGAGGCACACGGGGAAGGTGGTACCTGGGGCAGGTGCTGCTGGTGCTTCTGCTGGTGGTGGTGGTGGCAGTGGCGGTTTGCAGCAGCGACAGAGAAGGCAGTGGAGGGAGGGGGGTGTGGGGCATGGGAGGAGGGCGTGGGGAGGGGAGGAGAGTCAGGGGAGGGTGAGCAAGGTGGGGGCAGTGAGGAGGTGTGTGAGGCGAGTGCAGACACACATAGAGGAGGAGGATGAGGGTGAGGACGAGGGGGAGGAGGAGGATGAGGAGGTGGCATTCACCTTCTCTAGTTGGAGGGCCGCTCAGCTGCTGCGAGTGCAGCTGCTGCTGTGACCACAAACCACAACACACCAGTGTCGCACACCTGCTTCATGTAGCGATTCATGTGAACCATATTGCTGCATTTGTGGTGTATATACAACGCTTGAATGCACTACATTTATATTCATTGAAATGCAGAGGCGTTCACCGTTCCTCTTCCGGTCTGGTGATGGTCATTACCTGCCCACACTGGCATAGATATCATAAGAAATAATCTCCTTGCCATCTTTGCACAGCACGGAAAGAATGTGGCTCTGAATAACATAACATTATGTAGCGAGTGTCCTGCACAGTTAAAGTATATGGTGAAAACTGGGACCTAATTCTGGCCAAATCAATCAGCATCCAATGGTTTTGTGTCCTGTGCCTTCCAGCCTTGTGAAAGTGGAGGCCGGGCAGTGGGCACACAACACAAGGTCACACACAGCAATGTGTTCTCATTCCATAACAACGAAGCTCCTTGAAATATTGCCACGATGTTGCCAGTGCCACGCTCACAGCTCCACCTGCTGCATGTCATCAGCCCCTGGGAAGCCGTTGCTGCTGCCATCCCCCGCAGCACCACCCCATGCCCCACTGCTTGCAAACCCCTGCGCCGCTCCCACTGCTCCCGCTGCTCCCAGTGCAACCTGAGCCCCCGGGGGCAGCATGGGAGGAGCAGCTGCCATGTACCCCTGCGCCGCCCACACGCCCTTGTGCTGCTGTGCCCCCGCACCTCCTTGCGCACCCACTCTCTGCCCCGCCCTGCCTGCCCCCGCTGCTGCTCTAGGCGGTGCCCCCATCGCCATGCCTGCAGGTGCCATGAGCCCAGGCACAGGAGCACCAGGTGCTGCTCCCGATTCATTCGACCCACCACCTGCCACAGCAGCCCCACCTGATGACTCCACTCCATTACCCATCCCTTCCATGCTGCTCGCCTCACCCATTTGAGCCGGGGCAGGGGTCATGACTGCCATGGGGGCAGCAGGCATGAAGAACTTTGGTGGGCCGCCTGCTGCTGGCGTTGCTGCTGCCCCAGCGGCAGCAGGCATGGGGCGCGGGATGGACGGCAGCAGCGAGGCGGCAGGCGTGGGTGCGGGTGTGGCGCCCTTGTTGAATGTGTCCACGTACCTGCGTGCGTGCGTGGTGGGGGGGGAAGGGGAAAGGGGCGGAGAGCAGAGAGGGGGGAGATGGTTGTGGAAGGGGTTTGAGTCAACTTAAAAGCAACGAGGCGGCAGGCGCGGGTGCGGGTGTGGCGCCCTTGTTGAATGTGTCCACGTACCTGTGTGAGTGGAGGGGGAGGAGGAACGTGGGATGGGGTGTTGATGCGCGAGGTGAGTGGGAAATGAGTGGTAGAAAAGAAAAACACAGAGAAACACAAACTGGAAATAAGAGTCAGGTGCATGTCCCCTTGCCCCCTTTCCTGGGCAGCCAGGGCCACACTAGCAGAGCAGAGCATGGCAGAGGTCACGGCAAAGCAGAGCAAAAAGCAGAGGTGCCCACCTGGAGCGCACAGCACTGCGCCGCCCAAAGCTGCCAGCGTAAGCCAGTGGCGGGCCGGGCTTCGCTGCTGAGCTGGCCGGTGCTGACGTGGAATCAGCAGCTGGCGCAGGAGGAGCTGCTGAATGGACAGCTGGCGGTGCAGGCGTAGCAGGCGGCGCACCGTCAGCAGCAGGAGCAGGAGCAGCAGGGGTGGTGGCAGGAGGGTCAGCGGAGTTGGAGGTGCCGGGAGCGGCAGGGGCGAAGGCGAAGGCGGTGGGGGGCGGGGCGAGGGTGGTTTCCACGACCTCGTCCTCCTTGCCTCGCTCCACCCACCGCTTCAGCTTCTCGTTGAAATAGAACGTGTTCTCCCCGCCCAGCTTCGCCTGCCACGTCAGGAAGGGGGGGTAGGGAGCAGCAGCATGTCAAATGTGTGGGGAAGAGCAATAACTGAGAGACAGGAAGGTTGAAGTGAACGACACAGCACGCAGTTACAAGCACAAGGATTTAGCATACACCTGCCATACCTCCCGTTCCCACAGCCCTCTTCACCCATCCCTTCCCCTCCCCTCTCACCTGCTTCCCGGTTGCGCCTCCTCCCCCTGAGCTCCCAGCAGCAGAGCCGCCCCCCCAGAAGTACCCAAAGAGGCGCCCCAACCCCTTCCCGCCTGGCGCTGCTGGCGGCTTGCCCGCTCTGCCCTTGCTGCCCTTGGCCTGCACGGGGGTGGGAGGAAGGAGCCAGGGGAGCAGCAGACATGAAGAGGAAGGAAGGGGGCTGAGATATGAAAGCCCATGACGTCCCTACCGTGTGTGCTACAGGGCTATGGAGAAAGGAAGCTGATGGCATTCACACGAGGTGAGAAGGGAGCGTCACCACTTGGTGCCGTCATACACCCGTGGGATGCGTCATGGATCATCTGTCATGCATCACGTGCCATGCATGATGCGCCACGCATCATGTGGCAAGCGCCACGCACCATGCACCATGTGTCTCTCACCGGCACGGCCTGCCCCATGTCAGGAGCGGAGGCGCTGCGCTTGTTGGACATGCCAGTGCCCGTAGCGAGCAGCCCCTCCACCGCCTCCTCTGTCACCAGCCCCATGGACGATGACGTGGCAAGCAGCGACGCTGACGAGGACGACGTCGACGGCCCACCCCCGCCACTCCCATCGCCGCTCGCTCCCGCCTTCCCACCCGTCCCAGTCAGTGTGGCATCAGCGCTCCCCTCGGCCATGTCCTGTGGGCTCACTTTGCTCGGGTGGCCGCCCAGCAGCCCAGCCAGGGAGAATCTGCTGCGCGGGGCCGCCTTCTTGGCGGCAGGTGCACCTGGGGCGGGTAGATCTGCAGCGGAGGCGGACTGGGAGCGCGGCACAAGGGCAGGCTGGGCCTGGGGCACAAAGTCAGCATCGCCCTCCCCGCTGGGGGACTCCCTGATGGGTGTGAGGTGGCCTGACCCCCACCCTGCTGCACTGGGCGTGCCGTGCCACTCCGCAGAAAACGCTGCCATGGAGAGAGGCTCGTCCTCCCTGATGGCTGGCGTCTGGGATGCAGCAGGCACCGCCTCCCCTGCCCTGCTGCTCGCTCCCCCTGCTCCCCCTGCCGCTGCTGCGCTGCTATCCCCCGTGGGCGTGCCGTAGGCCGGGGAGAGGGCGATGGGGGGCATGTCAGCACTGGTGACAGCAGGGGTGGAGGAGGAGGAGAGGGGAGTGCATGCAGCGGAGTCAGAGGTGTCTGATAACACCTCAGCTGCTGCATCGTGCCACTCGCCCTCGCCCCCACCCTCTCTCTCACCCCCTTGCATCTCACCTGCCCCTGTGCCTGTCTGCTGTTCCCCTTGCTCCTGCCCTCCTTGCGCTCCTCCTCCTGCCACTCCGTATCCCTCACCCCACTGCTGCACCCCCACCTGTTCCTGCTGCGGCTGTCGCTGTTGCTCGCCCCATGCCTGTGTCTCCTGAGACCAGCCTTGCTGTTGTTGCTGCTCACCCCATGCCTGCTGCTGCTCCGGCCAGGCTTGTTGCTGCTGCTGTTCCCACTGATGTTGCTGCTGTTGCTGTTGCTGTTGCTGCTCCCACTCCTGCCATTGTTGCTGCTGTTGCTGCTGCTGCTGCTCCCATTGCTGCCACTGCTGCTGCTGCTGCTGCTCTTGCTGGTAACCACTACCGTAACCACCATACTGCTGTGCAGCCACCTCTTTCTGCTCCATCTGTCCTGCTTGTGCGACCCCCTGCCCCCACTCACTGCCACCACCTGCTGTCCCTTGCACTCCCCCACTCCACGCACTGCCCTGCTCCCCTCCAGTTCCTCCCTGCGCCCCCACCCCTGCTGCCGCACCCAGTGCACCACCAGACCAGCCATCTGCCGCCCCACCACCAGCAGCCATCGTAGCAGCAGCAGCACTGTAGCTGCTCGCCAGACCGCCTTCACTACCCGGAGCTGCTTCAGTGGCACCTGCACCCTGCCCCTCCGCCAAGCCTACCAGGTTCGGCCCGGACGCGCTGTGCAGGCCCGGGGACGAGGTGGATGCAGGAATGGCACGCTTGCCCAGCCCCCACCACCCCCCTCCCCCTGTCGTACTAGCCTTCCCAGCCACCCCCAGGTTCGGTGCCGAACCAAACCGAGACGACTCGCCCAAGCTCGGCTTGCTACCAGCCCCACCGGGCACAATGTCCCCCATGGCGCCTCCACCCAATGCCGATGCGACACCTGGCGCAAGAGGCGTAGCAGCAGGCCCCCCACCGACAATCTTCCTAGCGCCTCTATCAAGGAAGCTCATGAGATCACCAAACACGCGTGCTGCCGCCACCCCGCCCCCCCCTGCCCCCTGCACGTGCACCTTGAGTCGCTCCTCCATCTGCTCCGCTGCTGCTCTCCACCCCTCCACCTCCGCCGCCACTCCCCGCCCCCTGCCGCCCGCCTTGAGCATCTTCAGCACCGCGTTACAGTACTTGAGGGCGGCGGCCGGGCGGCCTGCTTCGGCCAGCATGGCAGCGTAAACAAGCTTAAATGGCATCAAGGGGAGCAGCACGAACTGCGGGTTGCCGAGAACAAACGCATACTCGAGCACCTCACTGCGCTGAATGGCCCGCGCCGTCACAAACGTGCGCGGGTGCTTCAGGTGATCCGTGCCCAGCAGGCACATGCGTGCCGAGGAGGAGAAGGGCTCCAAACTGCCTGCTGCAACGAGGTAGCAGATGTGTGCTGCGGCCACGTCCCCCCTGAGGCGCCACAGGCAGTCGCCCAGGTGGGAGATGACCCTCTCATCGCCACTCGTGCGCGTCGCTGCCATCAGCGCCACATTCTCCCTCCACTCCGCCACCATTGCTCGCACACCCTCGTCGCTGCTCCCACTGCTGGTGCCACCATCACCACCAGCAGCAGTACCAGTACCAGCACCAGCACCGACGCCTGTCTTGGTGGCATCAGCAGCGGCACCGGTGGCAGCGGCGGCAGCAGAGGCAAACACGGCGGAGGGCTGTTGGGTGAGCAGCAGAGTGAGTGTGCGCAGAGGGGCACCAGGGGCAAACTGCTGCGCCGCCATGGCGTGTGCTGTGGA